AGAACCGGGACCAGCAAATCTCTTTGCATTTGATGGTGCTGTTATTCTTGATGTTGAATTTGTTCTTGCGGTGGCTTGTGATGCAGCTGGACGCTTTGGACCTAAAATAAACGAAAAAAATATCCACAAAGAACCAGCTTTTCAGATAATAAGGGAAGAAAAAGCAATACTTATCTAATTGATTGTAAATTCCTAATGAATACAAACGATTCTCTCCCTAAGTCTTCAGAATCTTTTTCTTCCCTGAAGAGCAACAAAAATTACGTGAGCTCCGATTAAACTCGTTATTCTCTCTTTCTTTCTCTCTGTTCGTCTCTTTTCACATGCAATGCAAAATGAGAGCAATAAAATACAGACAAGTTATTACTTGGACTGTTTTCTTGTGCTCTCAAAATATTCTGAACTAGTGGCGGCGCCATAGGACCGTTTTTCGTTAGCATAACCGACTGTTGCCTGCTTTGTGAGTCTAAATGAAAAAGGCATTTAACGAAAAAAATGCAGACAGAAAAATGATGAAAATAACTCACATTGACATTCATCACTCAGCATAACATCTTGCAAATTTGTGTACAAACTAATCGAATCTTCATCACACATTTTTAAATTCGAAAAGCTCATATCTGAAATAAATTATGAAAAAAGAAATCTGATACTATATAGAGAAAGCGAACATGTTAAACTATGAAAGGCTGCACTCTAACTTATTTCACTCCCACACTTTTCAACTTATACAGCCTCTCAAAATTCTTCGTTTTTAAATGTGCAACTCGTATTGATCGAGTATCTCAGCCTAGAAAGGCTGTGCTCTACCATTGATCTATCCACTTTTCTTTCAAAGACAAAGAATCTGAAGAAACAAGATAAGTTAAAAAAGCATTGAAGTGAATTAAGTCAACTAAAGTGCCTTTCGTCCCTCTTTAATGGAAAACTAAATGTGTTAGTAAAGTGTTAGTGAAGTTTTAATAAAAGACAAATTACAAACAAACAACAATAAATGCGAAATAGTCTAGAAAGACTCTAAATCATAGAAAACTTCAGTAATAAAAGAGAAGTGAGGAAGTTGAATTAAAATACACTTACACAAAACGTCTGAGAAAGGAACACAAACAAGTTTTTTTAAATTTGTATTACATAAGT